ATGAGAAATAGACCAGTGGAAAGCAATGAGAGTCCTGGTGAGCTTCGCTTGTCCCGACTATAGATCACACTTTACTATAAGGATGAACATCATAAACAGTGAAATATTCAAACATTATGTGCTTTTGACCCTAGAAAATACTGAGACTTGGCACTGTAGCTCAGCTGTATTGTAGCCTGGCATAACAGATGCCATCTTGCACCCTGCATTTATCTAGTGCCCTGTATTTGATCCAGGAAAATGAAAAATCACTCAGGGTATAAGTTCCATGAGAAAAGCAAAAGGAGCTGTACCCAAGTAAAAAAGTAACCTGCTAAAAAAGAAGCAGGATACAGGTGTCAACCAAAAATTAATTTAAGATTCTAGCTAAATTGTTTCCAATGGGATATCTTCTGTGATTCTCTCTTTGCAAAATGCCTAACTTCCCAGTTCAGAGCCAATTGTTTAGATTCTGAAATGCAGAAGGAGGTTTGTATAAAAGCGGTTTTGAGCTCAAATATTTAAATTCCAAATTTATTCTCTGGTTGCTTGGATTCCTATACTGTTGTTTACAAACTCACCTCAAGAAGCAGAAAGATTACTGACAGAAGCAAACCTCTGGATTAAATGTCAGTGCCCCTGAAATGAAAGAATAATGTTGAAAAGGAGGGAAGAAAATGACCAACACCATGTGTTATGATGCCTACCTCTATTCCACAGCATTAAAGAGGCTGAAACAGGAGAATGGCCATGTATTCAAGGACAGTCTAACCTACGCAGTGAGTGAAAGGCCAGCCAGAACTACAAATTGAGACTACATCTTTAAAAACAACAAAAAAAAATTAAAAAATCAAGGGAGAGAGAAAGACTACTAAAGGAAAACAAAAATAATAGAGCTGAATGAAAGCTGACCTAAATTGACAATTATGGAATGATGTTGCAGCAGACAGCGGGCCATGTAGTGGCATCCTGGTAGCTGTGACAAATACAAAGTTAGGAATGGTACCTATTGTGCTATAGCACAAGTGACCTCCTTCCTCCAATAAATCTGCAATTTGTTAGAATGAAGAGGTCCAAAAACTCATCGAAATCTTAAACTCAGAGCAAGCACGTAGCTTCATGCAAAGGCTTTCGAACATTGCTTTGACCACTAAGCTCAAAACCCAGCCCAAAATCTTCAGATTCTATATATGACTATTACCAATGTTTAATTTACCATTGACATATTTAATTAAAGCTCTTGTTGATCTACATCTTTACAAATGAAGCTATTTTCTTTTTCTGCAGTTTAAAACACTGTTTTTTTTTTTTAGGTACAGGGGATGAAACTCACAACTTAGCACTTCCCAGGCAGGTGCTTCTGCCTGCTGAGCTAAACCCCTGGCCTCTATTGAATAATATTTTATTAAATGTATAAGCATCACATTATCCAGTCAAATGGTATTGTGATTTTACTACAGGAGGTCAAAGTAGAGAAAAATTGATATACAGTCAGAGAGAAATTGGAACCTCAAAGGATTCAACATAAAAAACTAAACACAACAATCCCTCTACAGGCTCAGCTGAAGAAAGCCAGACATAAAGGTGAAGATGCAGTGACCATGTCTACATGCCTCCTGAAGAGAAAAACAATAGCTTGAAATGTACTACAGTTACCACTACTTCCTCCAGGAAGTCCAAATAGGCATCAATTACCATACTCAATGACCAGAACAACTGGACTATTGTTCCCACAAAATGCCTTTGCTCTTTCAACATACTTTTTCTGGGTAACTTCTTCCCAGGTTAAGTAATATTAATTAAGCCACTCACTACAAGCTTATAGGTTGATTGTAGTTTGGGACTCACACTGTAGCCACATTGTGACTTTGCTGCATAAATGATCCCTGACAATAGGTCTGGGACTTAAACACTGAAGAGCACTCCTGAAAATCCAGGGCTATTCTTCTCTCTTTTTTCCCAAAAAATTTTTGAACTTCTTTTGGTTTGTGACTTCATTCCTTAATGTTGTGAGCCAACAAACTTGGTGCATTTGACATCAAACAGGGCAAGATTATATTTGTCCTATTTCCATTTGAATATCAAACATCTGCTAAATGTTCCAAAACCTTTGCATTAATCTACTTGCTTGATCTGCATTTTTAAAGACATATTTTGTCTTGAGGCCTGGCCCATAACAAGAGGTATCTGTCTCACCCATAGCTGCAAGGTGTCTGGGATTCTGTCTCCCTGGCTATATATTTCTAACTAACTCAGCTGCCTGTAACAACAGGGCTGGGCCCTCAAAGGAGCCAGAAAATAAGTTCAGATTGTTTGTAGCATTGGAAGAGACAATCACCTACTGCTGTGAGCCAAAAATCAAAAGAAAAGGCAAGGAAATGCAACCAAGTGCTAAGAACCAGCAGTCTAAATAGTTCTCTGATCACCCTGAGGAACATCAAGAGTCACCATCCCAACCCCCTACAGGAAGTGTCCCTGCTCTTAAAAAGGCCCACTTAGTATGTGACTTGCTCTCCCATTTGCTCCCAATTTAATCAATTTTACCTGAGTAATTAACCATATTGGTTGACCACAGTCTTATCCCACCTTATGCTAATCTTGAAAATTCCTATTTTTCCCCTCCTGTGACCCATTTGACCTCATTGTTTAACTCTGTACAAGCTCCTCAGAAAGACAGAGTCTTTGGCAACCCACTCAGGACCCTTTCTGTCTCTCAGAATCTTTCCTTCTCCTAATAAATATGTTCCATTCTTAAACTCAATCATTCCTAAAATTCATTCTTTAAATTTAGAGAACACAAACTCATACCAGACATATAGTAGGTAAGGAGTTTCATTACCCTATACCATTAACATGAGCCAAATTAACATGACTATACTATATAAGGTCTGAAATTTCCTCCTTCTCCTGCAGTTTTAAGTGATTAATGCAAATCACAGTGATTGTAGTCCTGGCAATATCTAAAATTGTATACATCAGTCATTATAAATGTAAAATAATTGGTTTGAGTGTATTATTTAGCAAGATCTAGACATTGCCATTACAGTAGGTTATATCTTATTTAAGAGAAGATTCACCTATAATTGTTCAGAAAAGTTTCTACATTATTGGCTGATTGAACAATTTTTCATTAGAAAAACTGTATTTTTGTCAATTTCTAGAAGGCTTCTATTATATTATTGAAAGCTGTCTGTAGGTCTCTAGGACCTTGGTTGTATTTTGATGCATGTTTGTGTTTTGAAATTTATATGAAGATTTATTTTTATCTTAGGATTAAACTTACTGCATTGACACTGATAGAGTGAAGCAACAGCCCACTTCATTAATTTCCATTGGGTCCTCGTGGCATTTAACAAGTGAATTACTGAAGAGCTAAATTAGCTTCCTACATACACAAGAATCAGTACTGTTACTGAAAGAGTTTTGGCTGAGACAGGACACTGTAGCCAGTGAGGCAGAACCAAGGAGCTCCTATCTCCCCCACCCCTAGGAATTTACCTGTGACTCCAACTTCCCTGCACCTAGGAATTTACCTATGGTGCCAAACAAAGACCAATGGACTACTTGTGCATCCCTAATGCCCCCTCAGGTTCCACTGTAAACCGAGGTTGCGTATATGCCCCCATGCCATGAGTCCATGAGAGAGAAAGCCAGACTTCAGTGGTCAGGGTGTTTTTGTTTTCTTTCTTTGCATTCTCAGAATAAAGGCCTCTTTTTTTTATACTTCTCATCTTTTGGACGTACTATACAATATTATCAGTTTAGGATTTTGTGGCCCAATAGAGAAGCAGAATATAACAAAAAGTAAAAGTGTCCTTTCTATTTAAAGAATGTGGAGGGGAGCCTACAGCCACCAAGGGTTTGCCTTTTTTTCTGACTGATTATGGGATTATGGGGTATATGTGAAATTTTGCTCTATGTGGTGCCTGGCACTGACATTGATGTCATGCAAGGAGCTGATAGGAATTTTCTTTGGGCCCCTGGGAAAGGAACGAGGAAGTTGCATTCAGGGAAAAATAGAGGAAGTAGCCATATGGGTAAAAATGGCTAATTTGAACTTTAACCCTGATGAACTACCACCATGATGTCCTGTAATTTATTCTAGGGCAAAACTCTTCCAAGTACATCCTTCAGTTTGAATTACCTGTGACGCCATCTTCCCGCCCCTGGAAATTTACATATGGAGCCAAACCTAGGATCAATGGGCTACCTGTGTATCCCTAATGCCCACTTTAGCCATGTTGTAGCTTGGCATAATAGATGCCATTTTGAGCTTTGCATTTAAATGGTGCCCTGTAGTTCACCAAGCAAAATGGAAAATCACTCAGGGTAGAAGTCCCAGGAGAAAAGCAAAATAAGCTGTACCCAATGAAAAAAATTAACCTGCTCAAGAAAAGAAGGAGAATACAGTTGTCATCCAAAAATTATTATAAGATTCTAGATAAAAGATTTCCAACAGGATATTTTGTGATTCTATCTTTTAAAACATCTGTAACTTTCCAGTTCAGAGCCTCTTGTTTAGATCCTGAAATGAGGGTGGGAGTTCTGTATACAAGTGGTCCTGAGACCAGCTAATGAAATTTCACATTTTTCAGTTGGGTTGCTTGGCTTCCTATAACTCAACTCAAGCTGCAGAAACCTTTACTGACACAAGCAAACGCCACGATTAAAAGGCAGTGCCACTAAAATGAAAGAATAATAGTGAAAAGGAGAAGAGAAAAAAGACAAACGCCATGTGTTATAATGCCCACTTCTTTTCCACAGCAATGAAGAGGCTGAAACAAGAGAATAGCCATATACTCAAGGACAGCCTTGAAGAGTTAAACATTCAGGAAACCCCTCTTGCCTTGTCACTTGGTCAGAACAACCAGATGTTCTGACCTGATAGGGAAGTTGTGATCCAACGTCCCCAAAAATAAGAGCACTGTGAACTATCGACCCTGCAGACAGGATATGAGTTTTCAAAAACATCAAGCCACCTGCAGCAGATAGCTCACCCACCATTAAACAAATGACACGATCCCTATTAACCAATGCCATCTGCTTCTGTAACCGATGCTTGCTTTCCGGCCTTTGGCTTTATATACTTTGCACTCCCCTATTCAGGGCTTTCTCTCTCCCACTCCCTCTCCCACTGGAGTGTGGTCGGAGGGTCCCTCGCATGCGAGGACAATAAAAACCCCTTGATTTTTCATGAGAGCTGGATCCTTGGGACCTTCTTCACGATGGAGATCTTACATTTGGAGGCCCCAGCAAGATCTGTCCCCCACCTTGACGAGAGAGGCCCCAATGGCCATGAAGTGTCTCTTGGGGGTAAGTACGGCCCTTCCTTTTAGTTTCATTTTTGTGATCGATCCTTTGTCTTAACTGCCCTGGATCGCTTCTGACCCATACCTCATGATCCTAATATAGGACAGTTTCTTTGGGGGACACCCCAAAAAGTTTCTCTTGGGAGTCCATTTATCCCTCAGTCTCCCAGTTTGTTAGGAGGGGTCTCTTCCCCCCTCATTGGTGGTGGATTCACCGATCTGGTGTGAGTGTGGCCAGCCAGAATGTGTGATGTGTTTTGTCTTATTGGTGTTCTCTGTTGTCTCAGTCCTTGTCCTCTCTTTTGTCATGGGACAAAGTGTCTTGACCCCACTTTCCCTTACTCTAGACCATTGGTCAAAAGTAAGGGAACTGTAATAACCTAAGGCCCCCTAACTATCACTGTGAAGCCTGTTCTGTATAAGCCCGCCTGCTGCTTTCCCCTCCTCTTCCCCCTTCAAATCTAACTAGGTTAAGTTTTAAATTCCTAAAGGCCATAAAACAAAGGCCTGAGGTAATAGCTCCTGAAAAGCCCCCTCCTCGACTGGGTAGTCAGTCACAAATTGTGTTAATTACATTAGATTTTAATAGCTTCATTTGTACCATAACAATACCTGTGTGTTCCTTTCCCTCTGAGTAAAGGATTGATATGTTAATCAGTGTTCTCCTGTGTAAAGAATTGTAAAATCTTACCTAATTGATATGTTAACCATTGTTGTCCTCTACAAATAACAGTTGTAAAAGGTGCTAAAGTAAGGTCACTAAGGTTGTTAATTGCCATTTCTGCTTTGTAGTGCATTACACCCCCATTACCTTCCTTACTTTGTGTGACCAGCAGCTGTTTGTAGATTTACAAGATAAAAGCCCTGACCTTTAGCTGACAGGTGCCCAGTCTTTGGGTTAACCCTAGAGACTGTCACCAGGCCTGAAAATAAAGCCTTTGCTTCCCAAATTTTAATTTCTTGCTTCCTTGAATTTCATACCAGGTTCTGAGTTATCACATTTAGGCGCTCGGTCCGGGATGAGAACAAGACCCCAGACTCATTTCTGAACATCTGAAAGTAAGTACTCTGGAGGTTTTGTTTGGGCCATGATCAATTTGTAATTTGGAGGGGACACTCCCAATTTGGCAGTGGGGCCCCTCCCCCCTGAAGACAGAGTCATTTGGGGGTTTTTTTGGACAAATTCTGCCTGTCTGAGATTCTGCCCTGGGTGGGAAACCGCTCCATCGGTTAATTTGTTAATTCCTCCAGATTCCAAAATTTGACTGATTTTTGAGCAAAGGCCATTTTGCTATAGCTTGTCTTGTCTTATACATCTGTGTGTCCATTTGTTCTAATTGTTCTCCTTTTAGTTACCCCAAATCTAACAGAACATTCTCTCCTAGGAACACCTTCTACAAGCCCAAAATGGACTAAAGGATTTAGATACTTATGTTCAGAGTTTTTGTACTTTACAATTGTTTGCCTGTTTAAATTTGTTGCTAAATTACGGGCTTATTGCCCATTTCTGTTGTAGAATCCATATGGCTTGTTAGATTCAACGTTCATAATAAGAATTATTTCCTTTAGCTCACCAAACTATGCACGAAGCACCCTTTGTTTGTGTCTCTAATGTTTTGGCGCCTTGTTTAATGTGTAAGGCTTCAATTGACTGCTTGCAACCTCAGCATGCCTTTTAAAAGGAGTATTTTTCTTTTTGGTTAAAATGTGAACACATGTGCACATATACATGTATATTTATGGTTTGTAAGAATCATGTCAACTTTACCAAGTAAAAACCAGTTCATACTATATTTGAGCCAGTTAAAAGGTTACAGTTTTGTTTTTAAAAATACAGCATTTTTATGTGGTAAAACATAAAATAATTAAGTATATTTTAGACTACTAAAAGGTGACTTCAAGGGTTTTGTTAAGAGTTTTGATGCTGTCTGAGAAGTGAGAGGTAAGGTAATTGACTAGTAATAATAAAAAGAGGGATTAAAAAAAAGGGTGTCTTGTCTTCAAGTAAAAATGTCTGGCTGTCCCAGAATGTAAAAAAGATAAAAGCTTAACTTGGGGGGGGTATAATGTAAATTGTAAAAGGCTCAAGAGGATATAAATTTTATTTGTCTTGGTTTATATTATTACAAATAACAGGTTTGACAAGAAGTAAATGTGTACAAAATTTGACAGTATTAGATCAGTTTTGGTAAAAGTATTCATAAGATTGTACTTTACTGTAAAAGGTTTCCATTAAAATGAGATTATAGGTGATACTAGATATAAGACACAAGTTCTTGCATGTGCTATAAACATCTGGGAGATTATACAACACAGTTTTGTTAGTTATAAAAAAGCCTTTTCTTGTTAAGAATATAATTTCAGTAAAATGATGGCCTGCCACGTGACATCCTGGAAAAGAAAAAAAAAAAAAAAGAGCAGTGTGCCATCCAAATGAAACCGGTTCTCTGATCTGGAATGCCAAAACCATGTTCTCCTTTTGTCCCACCCCGATTGGACATCCAGAGGTAAGGAGGTTTCCCAGCATTGCCAGTTGTTCTCTTTGCAACTTAGTCGGCCCCATATGTTAGACAAAAATTGCAAAGGTTTGAGAGGTTTGAGGAAATGCCCCTCAGCCAGTTAATAGAGATAGCACAAAAGGTCTTTGAGAACTAGAAAATTTACAAAAAGCTACCAACAAAAAGATAACCAACGTGTTAAAATTGCTCTATGAGAGAAAATTAAAAAAAAAAAAAGACGAGAGTTTCTGGGGGTGTTTGGATGCTGTAGGCTAAATTTTCCTAAAAAGCTTACCTCTATATGACTCCTATAAGGGAGAAACTCAAAACACTGAACTAGACTGATAAATGTGAACATGCCTTCCAGCAGCTCATGCAGGCCTTGACAGAGGCCCCAGCCCTGTGACTCCCTGATGTTACCAAGGCGTTCACCTTGTTTATAGACAAACTGAGGGGCATTGCCAAAGGAGTCCTAACTCAAGACATTGGCCCTTGAAAGAGGCCTATAGCCTACCTCTCCAAAAGACTTGATCCAGTGACAGGAGTATGGCCCCCTTGCCTAAGAATACCAGCTGCTGTGACAATGTTACTTAAGGAGGCGAAGAAACTCACGTTGGGCAAGTGATTTCTGTGGTAACCTCTCACAGTTTAAAGACTCTTATCAAAACCCCTCCTAAAAAAGGGGGGGGGGCTTTTGAATGCCAGAATTCTACACTGTCAAGCCCTGCTTCTAGACCCAGAGTCAATGATATTCAAGACTTCTTCAGCTTTTAGATCCTCAGGTTCATAAGTGTGATGATTGGGTGTTCATGCTCTATGCATGACATGTGCCTCCTTTCAACCTTGTTACGACCTCGGCACATTACCCGTCTGACATGAAAAAAAAAAAAAAAAAAAGACTTCTTCAGCTTTAAACCCAGCCACCCTTATGCCTGATATATGGAGGAACAAAAGACACTTCTCCCTGAGTGTGCTGACATCCTTAAATTGCAGCAGAACCTACGGGCTGATCTTACCAACCAGCTTTTGGGACAACTATTTCATCGATGAAAGCAGCTTCATCCAGAATGCAAATGAGTGGCCGGGACAGCAGTAACCACCAAAAAAAAAAAAAAAAAAAAAAACAACAACAACAAAAAAAAAAACAGGTACTCTGGGTTAAGCGGGTAGAGCCTGGCACCTCTGCCAAATAGGCGGAGCTTGTTGCTTTGACTGAGAGGCTAAAACTAGACATGGGAAGGTTAAACATTTTTAACTGACAGTGGATATGCTTTTGCTACTGTACATGTACATGGAGCCATCTATCAGAGCAAGGTCTCTTAACCTCAGCTGGGACTAAGATTAAAAATGCTCCACAGATTCTAGACTTGCTGGCATATGTCTGGCTGCCTCAATTAGTTGCTATTATTCATTAGAAGACTCACTAGACAAGAGATGACACTGTCATCTTAGGAAACAGTTTGGCAGATCAAGCTGCTCGAAAAATAGCAACCACATCAAAGGGGCCAACCAAGATAGTAACCGCTCTGATGCTAGCCCCTCCAACCTTGTCAAAACCAGTCTACATACACACACACACACACACACACACACACACACACACACACACACACACAAAGGACCTACAGTTAACATCTCAACTTGGAGTAAAGTCCCCCCTCCCCGGGGGCTGATACCAGTTACCTGATAAACAAGTCTGTTACTGGAGGCACTAGGGTGGGAACTGTTACACTGGGCTCGCCAGACTACTCATTTAGAGAAAACTAAACTTGTGGAGTTGTTCAGAACGGTATTTTATTCCAAAACTCTGCAAACTGACCACCTCTTTGAGCTCCAGATGCCCACAGTGATGGTTAGTCAACTCAGCCAAGAGCTCTATGCTGGAGACCACCCGACATTAAAAAATTGTTCCAGGAGAACATTAAAAGGTAGAAAGCCTGATTTACAGGGTACCTCTATCTCTTGGTATTAATAAGAACTTCTACTGGCTGGGTAGAGGCTTTCCCTACTAAGTCTGAGTCAGCCTTAGTGGTAGTTAAAAGGCTATTGCATGAGATCATACCTTGATTTGGCCTCGCACTATCCCATTAATGGGATCCAATTATGGCCTGGCTTTCATAGCCTGAGTCACCCAAAAGTTAGCCCAGGCATTAAAATTAATTAAAACTCCACTGTGCCTATCAGCTACAAAGCTCAGGGCAAGTAGAACGTATGAACCAAAGTCTCAAGGACATTTTAGCTAAGCTGTCTTCAAAAACTGTAATAGTTGGGGGGCCTTCTTCCCTTAGCACTAAGAGCTAGATGTACCCCATATGTTTCTGGGATTTCCCCCATTAAATCCATGTTGAGAGGCCCCTGCCATTGGTTCCAAGATTGCCAAAAAATAAACTAGCTAAAATAAATAATCAAGATCTCATTAAGTTCCGAAAGACTCTCCAATCTGTGTTGACTTCAATCCACCAGCTGTTTAGACTAGACAAAAACACCCAGATCTGCCTTCAGAGACACCTCTCAAAGTGCCGATCAAGCCAGGGATTCTGGTCTTGGTGCAACGTCACCACCAAGATTCCCTCGAACCCTGCTGGGAAGGACCTTTCACCGTGGTGCTCAGTACCCCCACTGCCATCAAGGTAGCAAAAAACTGTATAGATTCACTATACTCACATAAAGCCATGGGAAACAGCGGACGATGAGGGACTTACTCAGTAAACTACATAACAGACTGGTAACCCCTTAAAGTTAAAATTGACTAAGACATAGTTAGATTATGCTGGTCATGAACTGTTTTAGCTTGCTTGCTTTGATTTTAATAGCATTGATGCCGACCTTGCATGGTGGCTTTGGTTCCCCTGTAAGCAAAGAACAATTGTTAAGGTCTTCAGGTGGGAGCTCCTGTGAATGTGGAGGGGGCTATATTACTAAAGGTAAAGACACCAACTGGGGGGAATTATACATACAATAAAAAACAAAGATCGAGATCCTCCCCACACAAATGATAAGTTGTATACATATGGTCTTCAGACAGATTGTGGGGACAAGTTGACATTCCTTGTTGCTATACCCTCAGTTACAGGGGGTTTGACTAAAAGATAGATGTAAATGATAAAGCCCTGTGTGATACCTAACAAAGACAGCCAGTGAGGGCTATGCCCTCAAAATTGTTCTTAGTATTCAAAAATACATTCTTCGTGCTATTACTCTGTACAAAAATATATAGGCATAGATAGCAAAACTTACTTTACTGCTGAACTTAGGAAGACAAGGGCTAAAAGAGTTAAAGGTGATTGGTCGACAAATCCGACAGTGATAGGAAGTTCAAAGTATGACCAAGCCTCATGTCTCAACATGGTTGGTAAATCAGTGTGCTGGAGCAGGGCAGCTCTATACATGTGTCTGATAGGGGCGGGCCACAAGATAAGACTAAAACTCTGATGGTTGAGGAACGAGTCAAGCTGTTAATAAAAATAAGCTGCCTAAATCATGGGGAGTTAATCTGGATGCTCAAACTTATGATATTCTAGAGGTCACTCATAAAGCCTTAAATGCTTCCAACCCAACTTTGGCTAAAAAATTGCTGGTTATATATGGCACAGGGCTCCCCCATCCCCCTTGCCATCCCCAACAGTGTTTCTTTGGCTACACTGGAGAAACAAGATTACTTAAATTATAGTGCTGGTCCCCCCTTTAGAGTACAACCAGTAGACTTCAAAGACTCTGTCTCCAAGGAGGTTTTCATAATGATACCTCCAACACTGATGTGGAGTTCGTTACATTTACTGATTATAGTTCCATAGTTAACCAGACTACCTCCTTTATCCTGCCAAAGGACAAGTATTTATTTGTGAAAGAAATATGGCTTATACTTTCCTCCCAAGTAACTGGACAGGGATATATGTAACAGCTGTCCTGTTGCCTGATATAGAGATCCTACCTGGGGATGAGCCTGTCCCCATTCCTAGTTTAGATTACATCACAGGCCACTCAAAGAGGGCAATTTAATTTATTCCTTATTGGTAGGCTTAAAGATATCAAGAGCCTTAGGTATGGGGGCAACAGGAGTACGGGTTTCTGTCCAACCTTCCAACCAGATTGTTAGTGATGTACAGATGTTATCTAGTACCATTCAGGTCATTCAAGACCAAATAGACTTGTTGGCTAAAGTAGTTCTCCAAAACAGGAGGGGAGTAGACCTACTCCTCCTAAAGGAGGGTGGCCTATCTGCCACTCTAAAAAAAAAAGAGTGCTGTTTTTATGTTGACCATTCACACATAGTAAAAGACGTCATGTCCAAACTCAGAAAAAATATCAAAACTAGAGAAAAAGAATACTCTTCGGAGACATCCTTCACTTCCCTATGACAAGGGCTAGCTCCTTATGTTGTACCCCTCCTAGGCCCTTTAGCTGCTTTGCTCCTACTCCTTACCGTAGGCCCTTATGTTCTAAACAAGATCACACAGCTGGTGCGATCACAGGTCTCCCAGGTAAAGATGATGGTCTTGAGATACCAATATGACCCAGTACATACTAATAATCTCTAGGATTAGAGATCCTCACAAAAAGGGGGGGGGATGAAGAGTTAAAACATTCAGGAAACCCCTCTTGCCTTGTCACTCTGTCAGAACAACCAGATGTTCTGACCTGATAGGGAAGTTGTGATTGACATCCCCAAAAATAAGAGCACTGTGAACTATCGACCCTGCATACAGGATATGAGTTTTCAAAAACATCAAGCCACCTGCAGCAGATAGCTCACCCACCAGTAAACAAATGACATTTGTTACCCCTATTAACCAATGCCATCTGCTTCGGTAACCGATGCTTGCTTTCCAGTCTTCCGCTTTATATACTTTATATACTTTGCACTCCCCTGTTCAGGGCTCTCTCTCTCCCACTCCCCTCTCCTACTGGAGTGTGGTAGGAGGGTCCCTCACATGCGCAGACAATAAAAACCCCTTGATTTTGCATGAGAGCTGGATCCTTGGGGCCTTCTTCTCGACTGAGATCTTACAGCCTAACCTAAAAGTGAGTGCAAGGCTGGCCAGAACTCCAAAGTGAGACTAGGTCTTTAAATCAAAAAACTAAAATGAAAAAAAAAAAAAATAAACAACCAAGGAGAGAGAAAGACTATTCAAACAAACAAACAAACAAACAAAAAACAATAATAGAGCTGTGTGAAAGTTGACTTCTCTAAAATGGAAATTATTGAGTGATGCAGCAGAGGAAAGAAATCCATGTAGTGGCATCCAGGAAGCTGTGACCCACACAGACTTAGGAATGGCACCTATTGTGCTACAGTACAACAGTGATTCCTTCCTGCAATACATCTGCAATTCACTAGACTGAGGACTTCTAAAAGCTCACAGAAATGTTAAATCCATGGCAAACAAGCAGCTTGAAATCCAGGCTTTGAAACATGCCTTTAGCAGACATTTCATATTCAAATTGAAATAAGAGAAATATAATCTTGCCCTGTTTGATGTCAAATGCACCAAGTTTAATGGCTCACAACATTGAAAAACGAAGTCACAAACCAAAAGAAGTTCACAATTTTCTAAAGAAAAAAAAAGAGAGAGAGAAATATAGCCCTGAATTTTCAGGAGGGGTCTTCAGCATTTGGCACAGACCTATTGTCAGGAGTCATTTATACAGGAAAGTCACAATGTGGGTACAGTGTGGGTCTCAAACTACAATCAACATATTAGCTTAAAGCTGCTTAACTAATATTATTCAGCAGGGGGACAATTTAGCCAGAAAATGTATGTGGAAAGAGCCAAGGCATTTTGTGGGAAAAATAGTCCATTTGTTCTGGTCTTTGAGTATGGTAATTGAGGCCTATCTGAATTTCCTGGAGGAGGTGGTGGTAACTGTAGTACATTTCAAGCTGTTGTTTTTCTCTTCAGGAGTCATGTAGACATGTTCACTGCATATTCACCTTCTGCATTTCTTCAGCTGTGCCTGTAGCAGTGACTGTTGTATTTAATTTTTTGCACTGACTCTTTGAGGTTCCAGTTCCGCTCTGATTGTATCTCAATTTCTGTCTACATTGGCATCCTTCACTAAAATCACAATACTATTTGAATGAATAAAGTGATGTTTATACATTTAAAAATATTCATTAATACAGGCCAGGGATTTAGCTCAGCAGGCAGAAACACCTGCCTGGAAAGTGCTAGGTGGTTACTTTGATCCCCAATACCTAAAAAAAAAAAAAAAGTAATTTAAACTGCAAGGAAAGAAAATAATTTCATTTGTGAAAATGTAGGTTTAAAAAATTTATAACTAAATATGTAAATGGCAAATTAAACATTGTTAATAGTCATGTTTAGTATCTAAAGTAGTTGGGGCTAGGGATTGAGCTCAGTGATACAGTGAGCTGCCTGGAGAGAACAAGGTCATGAGTTCAATCCCTCATAGAAAAAAATAATTCACATTGTCAATGATGCAGTGCTATGAGCACATTTATTGAAATGGATACTTGTTAATTGATAGGCTCAATGTTTCTTTTGTGGTCTACAAAATACCTGCAGATAACATGGCAATTACCATGAATGATATACTGTCCCCTATAGGATTGCTATTTTCTGAGTTGTTTTTATTTTTTGTTTTCCCACATACTTGAAAGTTGAAAATGTTGGCTGGTGCTAGGTAGAAAAACTGTGATAATCATTTTTTTCAATTTAATGATATATTTCCCTATATTCTTTAAGAACATTTTATTTGCTACAATTATTCCAAGTGAAATTGATAAACAATTCTTAATGTTACAGGCAGCTGAGTTAGTTAGATATACAGGCAGCCATACCATGTTATAGTAGAATGAAATTCCTGAACTTCTATGTCTGTTATGAGTTTGTGTTCTCTAAAATGGAAGAATGAATTTTAGAAACAACAGAGGTGAAAAGCAGAATATATGTATTGAGAGAAAGCAGGTGAAAGTGTTTTGCCCTCAATAGGATATTTTGGCAGTGGAATGAGGAACCAGGAACCTTTTATCTTGAGATCACTTTCCCCTCCCCTATGCAACTTACCTGTGTCCAGAAAAGAGTCTCAATCAGGCACCTGTATACACCAATGCCACCTTTAAGCACCACCCAAATCAAAAACTATATGTGTGCCCCACACATTTCCAGAAGAAAAAGCCAGAACCCCAGTGGTCATGGGGTTCTCTCCCTGATTTTAGAATAAAGGCCTTTTTGACTTTATATGCTCTTCTTTACTACACCAAAAATCCTATTGGAAAGCTTCTGTCTGAGAGAAAGAGGAGGGGTTCTGAGCAGGTAGCAAAGGGCTCTGTCTTTTCTAGGGACTTTATAGAATAAAAGCATGTGGTGAGATAGGTATAAAGTGGGTTAGATTACTGAGGTTAGTGAGGAGGTAAATTAGTACATTAGAGAAGCAGAATATAAGAAATGGAAAAGTGACCTTTTATTTAAAGAATGTGGAGAGGTTCCCACAGCCACCAAGGATTTGGATTCTTTTTTTCTGACTGACTATGGGGTTATGGGGTATATGTGACTTTTGACTGGATGTGGTGCTTGGAGGGGACAGTGATGTCATGCAAGGAGCTGATGGAAATTTTCTTTAGGCCCCTGGGAAAGAAAGAGGAAGTTGTAATCAAGGAGAAAAGAGGAAGTGGCCATATGAGTAAGCATCCCTGATTTCACCTTCTTCCACCTTGGACTACAACCATGAGGTCCTGCAATTGTTTCTAGCGCAAAATTCTTTCAAGTACATCCTTCGGTTTGAATGAAGATATAAAAAAAAAGAAATTTTGCTATCTGTCTTCCTCCATGGCTGGTGGTAAACCATGCATAAGAAATATTTTGAGTCATTTCTTTAATGCATTGTTGATACCATAACAAAAATTACAGGTCAGTTCACTTTCAGAAAACAGAAGCAGCACTTGAGGCAGGGCTAAAGCCCTTCAATGCAAGTATCACTGTAATGGTGACATCAACATTGTAGAATACAAACTACTGCTGATTTCTCTGACTTCAAGAAAGAGAAAATTTATACTGATATTGCTATAGGGGAATGAATCTCCCAGTCTACTATGTCTGATATGGGTTCGTGTTCTCCAAGGTCAAAGAATGAATTTTAGGAACAAAAGAGATTAAGGGAAAAATACACTTATTGAGAGAAATAAAGCTGCTTGAGACACAGAAGGGTTTCTGAGCAGGTTGCCAAACACTGTACTTTCTATGGACTTTATAGAGTAAAATCATGTGGGGAAATGAGTTTAAGGGGGGGAGAACTAGGAATTCACAATGCAGATGGGCATAAGATGGGACAGAGCTATGGTAGCCAATCAGATTATAAGTTCAGGTAAAGTTGATTAAATTGGGAACAAAGGGGAAGGGAGTCACAAAGAAAGCATGCATTCTCAGGCAGCTGTGACTCTTCACTTAGGGGTTTCTGAGGGTGACTCCTGAGTTGATCAGGATGATAGGAACTATTTAGAATGTCAGCCTATAAGATAAGGATACATTTCTTTGAATGGTGACTCCTGACTTCCTCAGAGGGCTATGGAACTATTTAGAATATCAATCCTTAGGATAGGCATGAATTTGCTTATCATTTGTCTTGAAACCAAATTTATATTTCAAAATATTGCTTAATTATATTAAGAACAAAGTACTCAAGTGAGATTTGAAGAGACATCATCTGTAGTCTATCAAAGGGATTGATGAGATATTTTTATTTTTTTTAATTTTGAAAGTGGTGAAATACAACAGAACAAGACAGAATAAGGCCACCTAAGATTATACAGTGAAACTGGTACAGAATTTCATGGCAGGTTAGTGGGATAATAATAATAGGTATCACAGTATATTTCATTATTTTATAATAGTTGTTCTTTCAATCACATATATCCAAATGAGATGAAATACAGAGCATTATAGAACTTATCAAAACAAAATATTGAATAGAGCAGTGCCATTATTCAGAATGGAGCAAATTAGTAATAAAAAAATTTGCCTTCCAAGAGATAGTAAAAGGAAATCTCCCTTATTTGCTTTGGTTAACTTCCCAGGAGACGCTCATTTTTCTGGTTCCCATTTGCTAACAGGAGGATGATAGGAGAAGAGGGGTAGGGGAAGTGTGATATTTGATTCTAGGCTGTGAATCAGTATCAGTAGGTTCATTATTGCTTAGCAGGGAGGCAGGCTGGTTGTTTGGTTTCACAGCGTCCTAAGTTCCAAAATGGCGTGGATCTCAGGAGCTGCTGTTGGTTCTCCCCCTGAAGTGCCGCAGTCTGCCAAACCACCACTGCTTACCAGGGATGGCAGGTGCTTGCTTGGCTTCCCAGTGTCCTAAGTTCCAATATGGCATGGATCTCAGGAGCTGCTGATGGTTCTCCCCCTGGAAGGGCTGCATTATGCCAGACTGCCACAACTTAACAGGGAGGGGATGTGCTTGCTTGGTTTCCCAGTTGATTGATGAGATATTCATCTGCCTCTGAACTTTGTGGATGCTGGTCCTTCAGGCTTCTCACTGTGAACTCTGCTTTAGAGACAGTACACAGGGAATCTTGCAGTGACTGAGCACAAGAATCAGTGCTCCTATTTGGCTCTTAAATTAGCAGTGTGTCGCAATCTAGCATCAAACTTGCTGTCTCCAAAAGTGTGTATATTCACACAATTAATGACCCAGACATGGAATTAAGATTTGAATGAATCAGTCTCCATTCAGCTGTTCTATTTGGTGTTATTTGTTTAGCTTAGTTTTGTTTTATAGAGACAAGCATTCTTTATGTATATCAGCTGGATTTGTACCCTGTATGGAGCCTAGAAATCTCCTGACCTCACCAAAGAGCCCCTGTCTCAGCCTTGTGAGTGCTGGGATTATAGATATAGACCAACACATTTTGCTTTTGATTCAGATCTGTAGAAGAGAATTTAAGATATACCAAACCTGGTGTCTCAACATTCTTTGAGGAATATATGTATGATCCTTTAGGAGGTGGTGACCTTTGAGGATGTGGCTATGAACTTCAGCAATGAGGAGTGGACTTTTCTGAGTACATCCCAAAAGAACCTCTACAGAGATGTGATGGGCGAAATCTTTAGGAACTTGACTGTGATAGGTAAGCATGACATCTTTTTGTTACTCATGTTGTTAGAATGTTTGTTGCTCATCACTGCTGTTCCATTAAAAGGAATGTGAAAATATTTTGAAAAATAGCTCAGGCCTAGTCACATTATATCATAAATCTAAAAAAAATCTATTAATTTGTATTTATTACTCTAATCAATACAGGTATTTCTATGTCTACAATTCAGGAAGAGTTTGGGATATCCAGGAAGCTGAAAAAGAATGCAAAATTTACTGGAGATACTTAAGGTAATTCGCACTCACAACGGGAAGGAATGTTCCTGAGTAATTAGTTTGTGAGCAGAAAAATGACAGCCAAAGAAATGAGGCACCATTCAATTTAATGTCAGTAATATTCTCCCAAGATGTATAAGCCAGGGTATGTATAATAAGGGAATTAAATCATAAAAATGTATGACATTGCATATAGATGTGTGCAAAAGGCATACACTTTGAGTTATGAAATTCTGCCTCCAGTTTTTCTATCCATATATACTTGCAAATACAACACATTCTTTATCTAACAATTGCTAAGATTGCAATAGAATTTGAAATAAAACTGAGTGCTCATGTTTCCAAGCCATGCTATAGAGAATCAGCCATTCTGATTAAAATTCTCAGTAGGCTGGTGGAATGTTAAGTGCATTCATTCTGAATATCAGTATGCAGTTATCTCTAGAAGTTGATCCCCTTATACTTGTCCTGGATATATTTTTTAAAACACAAAATCCACATAAAATACAGATACATGCTTACTCATATACAAAGTAGATCAAGTTATAAGAGACCAAGCCTTGAAGCAGCTTAGCAATCTATAACTGTATTTGTGGAAAAGGAAACTGTTAATAGACTGTGATTCTGCATTCTTGTAAACCCAGCACTCTATGAATCAGATTTTGCAGAATGGCAAATTCAAGTTCAAACTTCACCGCTTAATAATCAGTGAAAATCTCTTAAAATAAATATAAAAGCTAGAGATTTTATGCTAATACCTGTTGTTCATTCCCAGCATGGAACCTAAAATCGTGTTATATAATGTCAAAAAATAAATAATATAATGTCATTTATGATAAGAAATGCGTGAGTCGTTCTCCCATCAATTCAGTGAAATAGCTCAGATATAAAGTCTAAAATGTCACAGGGTTTCTTTTAGATGAGAAACCAAAATATTAATTGTGGTATGAAATGAAAGAGATTGATAGTGAAAGGTAACACTGACTGTATGGAAATGGGAATTACAGGTTAGGGACAGAAAGGAGACTATGATTGAGAAATGTATCAGAATGATTTCTCTGTGATACACATATATACCCATGCCCAAAGTGAAGCTAAATATTCTGCATTTCAAAAGGTATCAAATTTTAAGATTTCCAAATGTGTACTAGTGTTTTGGGAATGGTTGTTTTCAACATATCTTACAAGGCCATTCTGTTGCTTCATTGTCAGAATTTCTTAGCAAGCATTAAAAGCAGAACTTCACGTTTATGTAGTCATTAACACAGAGACCCATTTCATTGTGATTTTTTTAAAATATTATGTAAGGAAAGACTAAACAAAACAAAATAAGTAGAAATAATGCTACTTTCAAAGTGAAAATAAATGGTAAGAAATAACTAGTCGATGATTTCTTATGTGCTCATAGAAATAGTTAATCAAGATACAAAAGTGAAACATATGAAGTGGGGATTCAAACAGTGAGACTGCAAACAGTTTTGTTCAACTCTCCAACAAAAACTTAGTAATATGGTTATCAATCCTATATGTGATTTTTTTTTCTTTACAGAAATGAAAAGCTAGGGAAATCCTATGGACATACACCTTGCAATCAATGTAAAGAAGTATTCCTTTGTACTGCAGAAGGTAATGTGAATGAGAAAGAAACAGAAACACACTACAATGTTCAGATCCATAAAAAATATTGCAGTGGAGGTAAACCCTATGTATGCAAGCAATGCGGTAAAGGTTTTACCACACATGGAATTTATAAGAAACATGGAAGAATTCACAGAGGAGAGAGACCCTACATATGTAAGGAGTGTGGGAAAGCTTTTACAACATATACATATTGTTAAGCACATGAAAGTCTACACTCTGGAGACAAACATTATAAATGCAAGCACTGTCAGAAAGCTTTCAGCACATGTACTTATTGTGCAATCCATGAAAAACTTCACAGGCAGAAATTGTATATATGTAAGAAATGTGGGAAACCTTTTATCAGTAACATTCATTGTCAAATACATGAAAGAATTCACACTGGCAAGAAACCCTATGTATGTAAGCAATGTGGAAAAGGTTTCACCCAACCTGGAAATTGTAAGCAACATGATAGAATTCACACTGGAGAGAAACCCTATCTATGTAAAGACTGTGGGAAAACTTTTACCACACGTGGAGGGTATAAACAACATGAAAGAACTCACACTGGAGAGAAAACCTATGTATGTAAGCAATGTGGGAAAGCTTTTACCAAACACGGACATTGTAAGTAACATGAAAGAATTCACACTGGAGAGAAACCCTACATGTGTAAGCAAAGTGGGAAAGTTTTACCCTACATGGACATTTTAAGCAACAAGAAAGTTGACACTGAAAATTAATCCAGTGTATATAAGCATCGTGAGAATGGTTTGAGCCCATGTACATATTGCATAATGCATGGAATCTTCACACTGGGCAAAAAAGTTATATATGTAAGGAATGTGAGAAAGGTTTCAGCAGAAACACTCATCGTCCAATACATGAAAAAATTTACACTGTTGACAAACCCTATGTATGTGAAGAACATGAGAAAGCTTTCACCACACATGGATATTTTAAAAGACATCAATGACTTCACACTGGTGAGAAACCCTATGTATATAACAATGTGGCAAGCTTTTAATGCATAAAGTCACTGCAAAACATGTGAAAGAATTCACACTGGGAAGAACCACTGGCTATGTAAGCAAGTGGAGACACTTTCAGCAGCCAGAGCCATGTATTTCACTTACATGAAGAAACTCACACAACAGATAAATCCTATGTGTTATGGGAATCCTCTCAGCATACATGATCATTGTTACATATCTGAAAGAGCTCACTGGGCTGAGATCCTATGTGGATTAGCAATGTGCGATATATTAGCAATCCATATTTGTTGTTAAATACCTATTAAAAGCGTCACTGGTCAGACAGTTTAGATCTAAGTTTACTTTAAAATTCCCTAGGAGACTTGAAGAAATAATCACAAATTTTGCAGAAATGACAAATCTGAGGTGGAGCTCTCCTCAAGTGCACATGTTGCAAGGTTTTCAGTTAATCACTTGTACCTCTCTAGATTTTTTAAAGTGTCTTTGTGCTTCAATATGGCATTTTGTAATTAAACATGTTAAACTGAAATGTGCTTTTCATTTTCAGGTATGGATAGTTACTGTTGTAGTCAGGGGTGTGCACAGAGAACAGTTGGATCAAGACAAATGTTTATAATATTATTTTTATAATAGTCACCGGGAGTTAACACAGGAAACTGCAGGGAGTCTATCCACAGTCTTTACATACATAGGGATTCTCTCCAGTGTGAATTCTATCATGTTGCTTACAATTTCCAGGTTGGGTGAAACCTTTTCTACATTGCTTACATACATAGGGTTTCTTGCCAGTGTGAATTCTTTCATGTATTTGACAATGAATGTTACTGCTAAAAGACATAGATTATTTAGTCAAGAGCATAAACCCCATAGCAATGTCCCACATGAGTCCAGATAAAAATCCAGAGCTCAGGACAATGCCTACTATTAGTCCAACTGGAGGTCCAGAGCACAAAAGAAGGATTCATGGAGTGTCTTTTATGGATTCATGCTGGAAAGACTCAAGGGTCAGTGGTGGAAGCTAGAAAGTCTATGCCAGCTGGATGATGGAGCTGTGCTAGTGGGATGAGTGTTCTATGCTGGAGTTGAGAAGTCACAGTCACAACAAAGAACAGGTCTATCCTGAAAGGTACTACAGCAGTCCTCAGTGACACAGAGGCCCAGAGCTCCTCCGATGAGAAGCACAGTCGAGTACATGCCTGGAACCAGTGTGATGAGCTCATTCTGGAGACCAAGCAGCACATGTCTTCCTATCCAAGCCCTTCCCAGCCAAGAAGTAATGCTCAATGTGAGGACCAAGGCTTCTTCAGGAGAACCAACAGCTCAGACAGCAACTCGTAGGACAACCCACAATGCTTCCTTAATGCCTCAACCCTCATCACCTCCTTTGTTCTCCTCGTATTTATCCTGGCAACTTACCTCAGGTGGAACACCTTTGCTCAATGCCATGCTGATGTAATCCAGCTGACATTCAGTTGACCACCAGTTCTTAATGCAAAACAGTATCTATGTACTTAATGTTTTGTCTTTAAAACTTAATTTTCATATTTTTTGGTGAATTGTTATGTTTTTGTTTAAAGAGAAAAAACAGAAAAAAGGTAGAAATAACACAGAATTTCAAAAAAATAACAAGAAATCACTAGTTGATAAGTTACATATTGTCATCTTAGAAATAGTTGTTCAAGTTAAAAAATTAAAGCATACAAAGTGGCGTTCAAATAATGACACTGTGAACAATGCTGCTCAATGATCCAATAAAAACTTAGTAATATGCTTATCTCTCCTATGTACCTATTTTTTAATTTAAGGAGGGTAAGATTAAACATGACAAAACAGTACAGTACAGTTCATAAGAAAACAAGTTAAAGAAACACAGATTTCAAAGCAGCTCCACTGGAGATGTTCACTGTTTATCTTACTGTCTCTAGTTTTCTTTTAAATAGTTGTTCCCATATTCACACGCACTGAATATATACTGAACATTATAGAACTAATCAAATAATTACAGGATGATGCAGGTTTTTTGGTCTTCAAGTACTGATTTTGGGGAAGTTTATGATAATTACAATAAGGCCTTTCACTCTCTTCGTGGTAGCTGTCTTTATCTTTATGTATGCTGAAATTCAACATACGAGACTAGACTACTGTCTTACTTACTTTTTACTCATCGCTGAGACAAAATACCTGAAGCCCAAAGTTGGGAAAGGAAAGGTTTATTTCATAAAATTCTTTGAGGTTTCAGTCCACACTTAGTTGGCTCCAAGACAGGCGGGCATGGCTGGACCACAGTTCATGGCAGCTGCCAACAGCAAGCTCAAGCCAGAAAAAGAGAAGGAGACACCTTCCTGCCATTACATCACATCCTGGCTCCACCCCTTTGTGGGTGGAGCCCTGACACCTTCAATCCAAGCACTAGATACTGAACGAATAACAAATGCACAATTCAAATTTATGAGGCCTGGGGGACACAGACAGAAACCATGACAACTATTATCACTCTGAACAGTGAATAATAGTATCCTGAGAAGGAGAAAGGTGAGGAATTGCCTAAAAAAAGAAGGCAGAGGGCATTGTTAAAAGTGTATCAGGATTTAAAAGCTACAGTAGATTTATTGCTCTGTTTAGTTTGATTATATTTTGTTCTGGTCTGTCTACTCATATTAGATTTGAGGGCACAGACATATAACCCAAAAATATCAGGTTATACCATGGTAACTATCCTTAATTTCTTATTAACTTAAACTGAAACCCTATATTACTTACATTGTCTTACTATGACTAATATTTGAAGCTGGTTTGTCTGAATGCTATTTGGCCTTGACTGATTTTATTCACATTTGGTATGCTTGCTGGTATCAAGTCTAAGAGTAGAGGCAACTACTCTGAAGATGACAAGATGTAAAAGATATGCATTGGGGCGCTGGGGATTTAGATCAGTGACTTAAGCACCTGTCTGGCAAGTGTGAGATCGTGAGTTTGATCCCCAGTACCAAAAACATAAATAAATAAAAGATATCCATTCCAGGTTTGATTATTAACTGCTTTCACATCATACAATGTCTTCAAAGTTGTTTTTATAAAACTAGCTATGCAATCTTATGCTTAACTATATAATGCTTGATAGTGTGGAAAACTCTATTGATAATAACAAGAGAAAGCATAGAAAATAACTGTACATCACCCAATATTGTGGTCTTATATGTCTTTTTCATATCATGATTTTATACGAATTTGTTTTGTTGTCTTGTTTTGATCTGTTTTTCCCAATAATACAGAAAGGATTGATATACACATAGAGATTCATACCTGGGAAGAATTTCTAACCTATTTATGGGAACAAGTTATATAATACACGATGTAATGAACAGATACTCTGAAGAAAAGACACTAAGAAGCCCAATGCAAATTCTGTAACACTGTGATATAAAATTGAGCAATACTATTAATTAGTCTAGTCACTTATTTGTTGGTGAATTGTAATTTAACACTGCATTTGCTTTAATCTTTTGATGCACATGCTTCAATTTCTCTTTCATAAATGATGCTTCTGAAGTGGATGAAATATTTAGCACTAAGATATACATTTGTAAGGCTAGGAGCATGTGGTTTTGACAAAGTTGTGTTCTTTTCACATAACTTGCACATTAATGAATGTTATGTTTTCCTTGTGGTGACGAGACAAGATATCTGCTGATTCCCTAACATCACTGGACATCATACCATGTACATTATGTTGGCTGATTTTCTTTCTCAGTGGCGCCAATATTTGTGATTTAACTAAACTGTTGTTTTTGTACCCATCAGAATTTTAGCTGTTATGTTTATATTACATTTTTACTTTGCCAGTAATGTTTCTCCACATCTACCAAAGTAAACCATAGTACTGTGAATTTCTGATTGGCCCATACTGACATAACCATAACTTGTCTCTAATGGCACACCACAAAATATATTAATATCTCCAGAAATTATAAAATTTGGTATGATTTATGAGTAACAATACTTTGAAATCAATTTTCTTAAATGTGAAGGTGTTTTAGGGGAAAAGGTTGCTATTGGATGTATCATGCAAATGCCTTTATTTTAGTCCTTGATGCTGTGAATGCATTATATATTTTGTAATTATTACAGCTTTTTCCTAAAACACTGAAGTAATGGCATGAAGGGAAACCTAAATTTTGAGCTGTCAACACAGTAAAAAGTAAATTTGCTAAATTAAGATTCAGATTGTGTTCTGTTTTACTGAATTGTGAATTTATACAATGACATATCTCTTTATTTATAAGGACCAGTGCCTGATATTTATGGTGTGTGCCGATTATCTTTAAACACATACAATGGGCCATGAGTCCCAGTTGGTTTCCTGTGGCCTGTGGTTTTCACTTCCATTTTTACATTCATGTAATTTGTAAAGTGTTTAATGCAGTGTTGTTGAATTCAAAATCTGCTTAGGTTCCAATGGTATTATGTTTTGAAAATATGTGGTGTCATGAAAACACAAGTGAGCATTTCATTAAATACCCCTAATCCAGTGAAGATAGCTTGCCCAAGTCTCAATTATCCTTGGAAGAATACAATACTCACCTGTTGTGTAATCATCACTAAAACTATATCTATTTTTTTACCTGAAGTACCTGACATACTTCATAAAGTAAAAGACACTGTAAACTACATTGTTAGCCTGTATGTACAACAGCATGTGGCCAGATTCCCTGAAGCACATTTCTGGCTTACCATCAATGGGAAAATTTGGAGTTTGTATTACAGCTAATAATAGAAGACTGAATCTATAATACATATATCCTGAGTACATGTACTTTCTCATTTCATCATGAAAGTAAATCTTGCTGGTCTTGTTGATGCATGCTTGTAATCCTAGTACCTAATGGAGCTTAAATTAGTGGAAGAGGAATTTGAGTCTAACCTACACAATTAGTGTGACCCTGTCTCAAAATATATCTTCAAGTTCTGCAGATGTAGCTTAATGCTTTAGATCTCCTCCCTTTCCTTCCCAGCATCAACATTTTTTAATACAATTTCACATCAATAGTTGTCCTTTTATCACTTGGCCACCTAGTAGTTATCCCCAAGAATCACTTGGGAAGCTCATTTGTTTATCCAGTGACCATCCTGAGCATCATTGGGGCAGTTGTCAATTTAACCCATTCATTCTTGTATTGAGTATAGGAGAATTGTCACTTTTATATTACTTTTTATTTTATAAAAACTAAGAAAAAGTATGCATTTTTGATCATTTTGTATTTAAATAATTGCATTGGTAAGGAGTTACCTATAAAGATTGGCTAATGGTGATTTCTTTAGTCCCAGCATCAGGAGAGAATGAGATGGGATGATCATGGCTTTGAAGCTGACTTTGGGTGGCAACTGCTAGATGATTTAGCAGAGTGTGAAGCAGTTGTTTTTATCCCTGCATTTGAAGTTTGAGGAAACAAGTAAGTTGAGGTCAGGAATAAAAATGTATGAAAGAACAAAAGAATCACTACTGCAAATTGTGATTTTTCTTTCACTCAGGAAATGTACTTTTATTGTAATTTGTGCAGCACTATCAAATATGCCTCTATTAGAGTAAAACAGTGAAACATGAAAGAGCCAGGCATTCCATGTTCTGAATGTACAGGTATTAAAAACATTTTTTTAATGCTATTGCTGCTGTTTTGTGTAGAAAATAAGATAGGGTGACAAAACAAGCAAAAAGGACTTTGTAAGATTTTAATCCTTCTGCATAAACATAGAAGCCATGAAAAAAGTCAAACAAATTTACAAAATAAACTACAAAATGAGAGAAATTTTACCTGTTACTCCCTGATAGCTAACATGTAAAACCAATAGGAACGTGAAAGGAACACACATTTTTCAGCATATGTACAACTTGCCAAGAAATACCTGAGGAACTATTGAGCATTTTTGCCCAATAGAGAAATTCAAATAGGGACATCGTCTCATTGCAGAGAAAAGAAATCACCACAAGATCTAAGGAATGTGCATGAGACTGCAGGAGTAAAGAAACTATTTAACCTTGTTGGTGGAAATGTAGGTAAGTAGTTCAACTACTACCAAAGTCAGTTTTTCAAATATTCAAAAGACTAAAATTAGTAATTCTCATTAGTGCACTGCTTCCTTTAGTGGGTCTCTTCCCCAAAGAGTTAAGGACATATTGCAGTGATTCATGCAGATTCCTGTTACTGCAGCAATAGTCATTTTTCTATGGAGAGCAGCAGCAAGCACAGCTCCATCACCACCAAATATCAATGATGAACAATAAATACTCACCAGTGTACTCCATTTGGTAAACGGTGTGATATTTTATTGTGAAATGGGCTGTAAGTTAGGTTTCCTTAGTAGACTATAGGTCAGTATAAACGTGATAGTCATGCTAATGTCACAAGGCAAACACTAGTACACTATTATGTTCATTAGATTTGATATATTTATCTTTTTGAGTAAGCATGTTGCTATGAAGTCCAGGCTGGCTTTGAGATCACTTTATAAACCAGAGTGGTCTCAACAAGTCTCCTTCCTCAGGGTCTCAAGTAATGGGCTCCATGCACGAGCCACCAGGCCCACTTTAGATTTGGTATATTCAGTGTATTCAGTATATTTTACTTCAACTGTTTTTGTTGTTAAATTATTTCCACTATTTTACCTCCAGCATCTGGAGAAACTCGGCCTTGTTGAGGTGGTGATGTACATACCACCAGCCTTGTGACATTCTCTCTTGGGTTCAGTGCTCTCAGGGTACTGCAGTGAAACATAGGTGTACATAACTGCTTCTTTTTATACATTCCTTAGAAAAGATTTTTAAAATTTCCATGGAAAATCAGAGGGTCAATTACCCTGACTACAGTTTCATTCAAATGACCACAGTTATGTAGTGTGTAGGACACACAGATAGAAACATATCACATATTTCGAGTGAGAGGTTTGTCAAAGCAGATGTGAAGACTACTTTGTGAAGGTTTGTGTTCCTGATTATTTCATTAGAATGAGCCTCGGGTTTTCTCACTGTTGTTTATGTGAAGCAGACCAGATGATCACTTTAATATATGAAGTGATATAAAGCCTGTTTAGATTTTAAGTATCTAAAGAACTGCTCTGGTGCTGTGGCCTGCTTAGTAATGGTCAACTTGGATTACCCAGTGAATGAAGTCATCATGGTTTTGGGACAGAACATGCATTGATGGATTGTTTAAAACAGCATTAAAGGAGAACTAGAGGGAAAGGAGCTGGGATGTTGATTCTCATGGTGAAGCTGGTAGTACTGGTTTTCCAGATATGAACTCAGCCATCATCATCATCATCAAAATCATCATCAAAGAAGCTCAGGTCCTCATTATTGCTGTGCATGGCTACTGTTCTCTTTTGCAGATCTCTGGCTCTTATCTTGAACTTCATGCCTTGGCTCCAGTAATGATCACTCAACTTTGTGGCATAGATTCTGTGACCAAAGGAACAGAGTTTCTAGCTTCCAACACTGAACTTTGAGCCTTCCTAGGGTACTATCTTAACAGAGAATTTCATGACACATTGTAAGTGCCTCTAAGTCTCCAGGTAAACTTTTGATTGTCCTTGCCCTGGGCTCGAATTCTTCAGCTGTACTTGTGCTGGATATTGTCATAGCATTCAAGTACTCAGTTGGATTTTTTTGGTCTCTAGTATCTGAAAAGCTCTATATCTCTCTAAATCTGACATTCTGAGATAAATATTGTTAAATTATCTTATCAATTATAAGTTCCATGTTAAGTCTCTTTCCTCACAAACCCTGACTACAACAGATGGGAAAGGATAAGATGTGACATTTTTGAGACAGGAGAAATTTCTTTAGTTACCTAATGTTATATGTAATTTTTCTCTTGGAGAGAAACAAACCTATATCAATAGCTTGATTTTTCAGGACTGTTGATAGATTCTCCAGCAGTACCAAGCCATTACATTGTGTGTTGCATGGGCAAGAAGTAGGTGTGTTAGGAACCTGCATGGTGCTTCCAGTCACCTAAACAT